CCATTGGTCGCTGTCAAGGCGCGTCACCGCCGCGCGCCGGCCGACGCGCCAGCCACCACGTCTCGAGCTCAGGCCCCACCTCTGCTCGGAGGCGCTTCCGGAATAGGCGGGGCCAATGCCGGAAGCGGAAGAAGGAGACGGAATCGCGGAGCTGTGAAGGTGTTGTGGGCTGTCTCAGGTACTCCGGGCCGGATGCTGATCGGACGGGCGAACTGGAGCACTGAGGGCCCGCCGCTTTTGACCCTGATAAGCGACGGCGGAGTTCGGGGTCTCGGGTGACGGTACATCGATGCCCTCCAAACAGGTTCCTGATGGGCCAGCGGCGGACACCGAGGACAACAGAAAAGACCTTTCCGGGAAGGAAAGCGGATTGCGGAATGCTCGTGGGCTCAGTTGTGCAAATCCGGGACGGACGCCTGTGGCCGGACTCCGGCAGAGGGGCTAGCCGGAGCACCCGGTGTGTTCGGGAGCACCTTCTTGGAAGCACCGCCTTGGGCGTAGTTCACGGGCCTGGCCGGGGCAGCGCCCTGGTAAAACCTTAGGATCGCTGTGCGGTAGGTCTTAGCTTCGCCGATTCACAGAAGGACCGACCGACACCCACAGGGCCGAAGCCACCGGACTTGGGCGCACTGGCCGATTTGGATGCGTAGCCACGGCAGCCTCCTGGGGGGCGGTGCCAGGTCCTGATTGCTGATGGCCAAGGACCTGCTGGTATAGACCAGCCGCATCCCCCCTGGAGGAAAAACAAGACGGTGTTTTCAGCAAGATGATCTTACACTATTTAAAGGATTTTATCGTGTGTTCCAAAAATGTGTTTTAGGGCAGGGGTGTGTGTGTGTGTTAAAATGACATGGGGGGGGGCAGCAGGTGGCGTGGAGATTAAGGCACTGGATCTCACATGGCCAACTTTGTGATTCGAGTGCCTGGACGGATGGCTTGAAAATTGTGTGTGTGTGTGTCTCTCTCTTTCTCTCCAAATCCCAAGAGAAAAGAGAAGGGATTGGAGCTTGGCCATTCCTCCTGGAGAATGTTTTCTCACTTTCCCTCTCTTCCTCTGGGCTCTATAGCCAAAAAGAAAAGAGAAAAAAGAGAAAAAAATTAAAGAGAAAAAAATTTTAAAAAGAGAAAAAAAAAAAAAGAAAAAAATTACAAAGCCCCACTTGGTCTCCCATATGTTGGGGTTAGGTCTGTATTAGCTTATTATCTTGGGTTCTTTTTTGTTTTTGGAGAGGTTTTTGCTATATGGCGCGTGCGCTCCCCAGAAAGAGAGACAGAGGGGCAGAAAGTGAGAAATCACCTCCCGGGGGTGGGGGGATGGCCAAGCCACAATCCCTTCTCTATTCTCTAGGGATCTTGGGCACACACGCACACGTGCCTGGTGTTGATTTTAAGCCACGGGGTGGGTCCAGGACTTGAACCACGGTCAACTACATGGAAGTCCAGCGACACAGCCGTTATGCTAACTGCTGGCCCCTTATCCTTGGGTTCTTGAAAACAGGCAGTATCTAATACCCTGGGGCTTACTGGAGACTCAGACCCAGGTGTGATGATTCTTGCAGCTGTCTGTCCCAAAGCTCAGCTCTGAGAAAAGTAGATGCCCAGAGGATGCTAACCTTTGCCACAGCGGTGCCTGTGAACTTTTGTCACAGAGCAGTGTGTCACAATCCCAGACACCTCCATGTGCAGGATGTGATCAAAGGTGCGGGGGAGTTAGGAAAGTAGCTCTCCTTCCTCCACAGCATACTTGACTGTCAGGCAGTTCCAATGACTTATTTTGAGGTTTTAAAAATTGTTACTTTGAAGCAAGAAGGTGGCTTGGTGGCTAAGGTGCTGGACTCCCATGGGGGTAACCTCGGTTTGAGTCCTGGACCTGGTGGCTTGCTTTCTCACTGTCCTCCATATCTAGTGAACACACAATGCCAAAAAAAAAAAAAAAAAAAAAAACAACTAAAAAATATAAAATAAATACATTCTTAAAAATACATACCAAATTGTCATCAGTGACACCCTCACGCCAGATGTACGTGCCCAAGATCCCGAGGAGAGAATGAAGAAGGGATTGCGGTGTGGCCAACCCCCTGGGGGGTGATTTCTCTGACAATCGCATGCACCCTATAGCAAAAACCTCTAAAGAAAAACCCAAAGGACTCACACCAGGCATGTGTGCTTGCATCCCCAAAGTCCTGAGAGTGGAGGGGAAGGGACTGAGGTGTGGCCATCCCCTCTGGAGGGTGGTATCTTGCTGTTTCTCTGGCAAGTGCTATAGGTAGCAAAAATCTCAAGAAACCACTGCTGGCTCTGAAGCTGTGGTTTTGGGGTGACAACAGTCCTACAGGATGGTGGGAAGGTCTGCCCTATGGGGCTGCCCCCTCCCCCCCCCTTTTTTTTTGCCTTAGGAAATGTGCATTCCCCAGAGAGACAAGAGGGAAAGTGAGAAGTCACACACCTGGGGGATGGCCACACCACAATCCCTTCTCCTCCATTCTACCAGGATTTGGTGCATGCACATGTATGGACCCCGCATGAGTTTCAAGCTACAGGGGTCCAGGATTTGAACCGGTCAGCCATGTGGGAGTCCTAGAACCTTAACCACCATACCATCAGCTGGCCCCCTTTTAAGAAATAGCTGTTTCCTCATTTGTGGTATCAAGTAGCTACAGACAAGACGACCTATTTCAGAGTGAAAAATCTAGAAAACCAAAGTCTTGGCATATGGTGTCAGGAACGGCAGGAGTGGGGGAAGACTAGACTGTCACTATCATCAAGAGAGAAATTTTTATTTTTTTTAAAAAACTTACTAGGGAACCAGCAGTTAGTGTAATGGCTATGTTGCTGGATTCCTAAGCAGTTGACCATGGTTCGCGCCCCGGACCCGGTGGCTTAAAACTCATGCCAGGAGCGTGTATGTGTGTGCCCAAGATCCAGAGAGGAGAATGGAGGAGAAGGGACTGCGGTGTGACCATCCCCCCTGGGGGGTGATTTCTCGCTTTCTATCTCTCTGTCTCTCTCTGGCGAGCGCATGCGCCCTATAGCAAAAAACCTCTCAAAAAAACCCAAACAAACAAACAAACAAAAAAACTAGAGGGTGTATGTGCTTACTGGAGAAAGGGAGGAGGCAAGAAAGCAACCCCCCTCCCATGGGGCATGGTCATGCTGCAGTTCCTTCTCTCCATGTCTCTCTCTCAGGATTTTCAGTGTTTAAGCCACTGGGCCTGGGACTCCAAGCACGCTGTCAGCCACGTGGGATCCAGCCGCCATAACCACCATGCCACCTGGCAAGCCCTAAAACATTGTCTTTAAAAAATCAGCATTAGTGGCCTCTTACTCTGTTCCTCTCTGATCGGATTTAAAAAAATCAGCAGCACTAAAAGTCAGCAGATGGCATGATGGTTAAGGCGCTAGACTCCCACATGGCTGACAGCAGTTCCAATCCTGGACCTGGTGGCCTGCTTTCTCCGGTGAGCACATGTGCCCTATGGCCGATTAAAAATAATAATAAAAAAATAATTCTTCGGTTTCAATTTTTATTCATTTAATTTGACCATAGAGAGACACAGAGAGTGGGAAAGTGAGAAAGCAAGCCACCAGGTCCAGGACTCAAACCTTGGTTGGCCATGTGGGAGTGTGCAGTGCCTGAACCACCACACCACCTGCTGGTCCCCTAAATTAATAATTCTTTTTTGGGGGAGAGGTTTTTGCTATAGGGCATGTGTGCTTGCCAAAAAGACAGAAACAGAAAGCGATAAATCATCCCCCCAGGGGGGATGGACACGTCACAGTCCCTTCTCCTCCATTCTCCTCTTGGGATCTTGGGCACACGCGCACGTGCGCGGCGTGAGTTTAAGCCACTGGGTTCAGGACTTGAACTGTGGTCGGCTACATGGGAGTCCAGTGACATTACGCTAACTACTGATTCCCAAATTAATAATTCTTTAAAAAAAAAAAATACACACCTGTCAGGTACTAGGGCAACCTGCGTGGGGAGCTGGCAGCCTAGGGCCAGGCCTGAGGGTGGGCTTCCCACCAGATGCCCAGCTTTGAGTGCTGGGCCATGCCATGGAAGGACGACAAGCATTTGGGAAAAACCTAAAAGTGACTGAGAGTTGAGCCATGGAGCCTGAGATAGAGGGCTCCCCACCCCACCCGGACTGCTGTCACCCAAACCCAGCAGGCGGCCTGGAATGAATGAAAGGCAGGAGGAGGTGTCCGTGCAGAGGGCTCATGGCCCACCCTGCATCTGCCCGTGGGGCCCTGGACTTCCTGGCTAATCCAGAACTGAGCTGATCTGACCGCCAAGGTCCAAATGAGAAACGATTCTCAGACTGGTTTGTGCAAATGGGTTTTTTTTTTTTTATTTCCACATTTATATCACAAGGTGTCCACTTACTGGACCAAATAGCAAAGTTGCTCCCTTCTGCGCCCTGAGGACACAGAAGTCTAGGTACTGTACATTCACTAAGGCTCCTTGTTTTTGCAAATCGCGTTTATGACAAATAACCATAAGGCAAACGAATCTAAAGGAATGGTTATGAGTGTTTCCAGCGCACAGACAGGGCTCCCCTCGCTCGACAGCACAGCTGACACACCGTAGCACCTGCAGTTGCTTTTGTGTTTTCTTTTTTTTTTTTGGGGGGGGGAGGACTCTAGAAAGGTGAAATTTTCTAGATATGTGCAGGTCGGAAAGAAAAAGGGAGGAGGAAAGAGTTATTTGGCTGGTGGTCAGATGGAAGAAGGTTGGAGAAAATAAAACTCGAGGAAACT